CCTGACAGCCGTATCAAAACGTGCATGACAGCATCATGTACACTATAGACACAGTGTTAACAAGCAGGCACACCATGAGGATGACGCAGTACCGCGAGTGTCCACTGGAGTCCTAAAATTGCAGACCATCTGTAGTTCTTTTCTGGGAGGATCAAAGTTTCTCGTCAAATACGAGCTCAGTAGAAGTTTGTTTCAAAACCTTCTTCTTTCACCGATTTTATGCTACTGTTTGGATTATTTAAATTCATATTTCAGCTGATGAAGCTAGACAGCTAACATAGCAGCTGCTATCCAGGTCGCTGTTGGACTCGGAAGAATCTTTTGTGCACATTTTTTTTAACAACTGGATTTTACATTGTACAAACGTGAGTCAGTCACAGGAACATGGTTAATTGTGCAGGTGTAAATAGAAGCAGCTGCCCAAGCTGTGATCTAGAGGTAGCACAGAGATGTAAAACAGGCAACAGCAACATGACCACTGCACATTGTTAACACAATTATGGTGCTCTGTGTGTGATCACTCATGTTTACATGACGGCAATGGAGGGCAGATACACTGACCTTTCTTCCCTTTGAGCTGCACCAGGTCAATCACAATCACTCCATCTGACAGAGACAGGACGAGAGTTTACTGTAGGGTCTACGTCACAGCCTGGTTCAGAACTACTGCCAACATCTGTCTGCAGCTGGAACCCAAGTAGCATTAGCTCCTGTCTGTGTGGCCGGTACAGACGCAGAGCCAGCAAGCTGTGGCCTAGCTCAGCATAAAGAAGTCAGGACTCACCGACCGGATCCACAAAGTCTCTCTTGACCAAGGTCAAAGCATTTATTTAATAATAATAAACTTTATTTATATAGCGCTCTACAACTCACAAGAGCACCAGAGTGCTGTACAGTCAAAACCCAATAAGCAGAGCAAAACGATAACAACAGAAAAAATACTAGAGTGCTAAACCGACTTCTAAAAACATAAAACAATAAAAACAACTTAGGACTCAAAAGCCTGCTTTAAAAAGTGGGTCTTTAGGGCCGATTTAAAGGCCACTAGATCGCTTTCCACCCGTAGTTCAACCGGCAGGGCATTCCATAGTCTAGGGCCACAAACAGAAAATGAACAGTCGCCCCACTTTTTATAGCGGGATTGCGGGACCACCAGTGACAACTGATCGGTTGATCGGAGAGCTCTCCGCGGCACATAAATAGCCAACAGGTCAGACAAATAAGATGGTGCAAGACCGTGAATAGCCTTAAAAACAAACAATAATATCTTGAATTTAATTCTGAATTGGATTGGAAGCCAGTGAAGAGCACAGAGAATAGGGGAAATATGAGCAAACTTGGGAGCATTAGATAGTAGCCGAGCTGCTGCATTTTGGACTAATTGTTTGTTGCGCAAAGACTGAGGAACTCCAATATACAGAGCATTGCAATAATCCAACCTTGAGATGACAAATGCATGGATCGCCTTCTCCAAATCACCATGTGACAATAAAGGTTTCACCTTAGTTAAAAGTCTTAGGTGAAAAAAGCACAACTTAACCACTGCCCTAATCTGTTTCTCAAAAGTAAAACCCCAATCAAAAATTATACCGAGATTCTTTACCAAGTCAGACAGGGGGAAGACCGAAGTGCAAAGATTAACAATGTCAGGTGACGAGTCAGGCCTGAAAAGAATGTATTCGGTCTTACTCTCATTTAGCTGCAAAAAATTTTGCGAAAGCCATTGCCTAATGTCCCGCATGCAGTTATGTAATAGAGTAAAAGCATTGGGGTCGGACAAGAGCAGTGGCATATAGATTTGAACATCGTCAGCGTCAAAGTGGAAATAAACATTATGATTAGCTATAATAGCTGCAAGGGGTACAATATATAATGAGAAAAGTAGTGGAGCCAGGGTCGAACCTTGCGGAACACCTGAAAAGAGGGGAGCTATATTGGAAGTGCAGTCACCAATAGTAACACAAAAAGTTCTGTCAGTCAAAAAGGATGAAAACTCGACAGTTGTTATCGAGAGCCATAGTAATGTCATTATGAATCTTAAGTAACGCGGATTCAGTACTATGGCGGGGCTTAAAGCCAGATTGAAATTTATCGGTAATATTTAAACAGTCTAAATGTGACTGCAGCTGGGTGGCTATGATTTTTTCCAGAATTTTGGACAAAAATGGAAGAATTCAGATTGGACAAAAGGACGACAATAATGAAGAGTCAAGATTAGGTTTTTTAAGGAGTGGGCAACTATCGCATGCTTAAGAGCAGATAGGACCACACCCGAATCCAAAGAGAGATTAATAAACAAGACCAAAATGGGACCCAAAACATCAAAACCCTCCTTAATAAACCTGGCAGGAAGCGGGTCAAGGAGCGAAGAGGTCAGTTTTAAGTGAACTAAAGTGTCTTTTAATTGGAGTAGAGAAATCGGAGTAAAAGAATTAAAAATGAGAGCTACGGGGGGAACAGGCTGTGAGTGTACTAAGAGTTTCGGCATATTATGCCTGAGAGCCCCAACCTTAGCAATGAAATAACTTAAAAATTGATTACAAAGAGCAGTGGAACCCTCCAGGGGCAAAACACCGGCTGGGTTAATAACAGAGTGTCTAGTTCTCGGGGTCCGACTGTTTGTTGCTATGACATTGGACAAAAAATGAGTTTTAGAAACTTTCACAGCCTCCTGATAGGCAAGGAGATTAGATCTCAAAATATCCAACAAGACATGCAGACCGTCTTTTTTCCCACTTGCGTTCAGCTTGCCTACAGGCCCTCCGCAAAGACCTGGTAGTGTCATTTAGCCAGGGAAAAGAAGCGTTGCCGGTCCTTCTAGACCTGAGAGGCGCAACAAAGTCCATAATCCAGGCCGAAGTCGAGTTCAGTGAGGAGAGAAAAACCTCAGGGCAGGACGGCAGATTATGAACCACAGAGGAATAGAATTCGGAGCCTAAGAACGCAGCAGCAAAGTCAGAGGGGGTAGAAGTAGTGATGATCCTAAGATGAGGCCAAGAGGCAGCTGGTCCAGGCAAAACTTCAAAACGAATAAGGAAGTGATCAGATATGGCTATATTTGACACATCCTTAATAGCAACAGATAGACCCCTAGAGATAAAATACTAAAATCATTAAGAAGGTGGTCGGGCAAGGAATTAACATGAAGATTAAAACGACCGCCACCTGGAGCACACGGGGGGGGGAAGCTCAGAGATGCTTTGGTGCCTTGCTCAGGGGAACATGTGTGTTACTAGGTTTACGGAACCTGAAACCTTCCTTGGCCATGGCCGCCTTCGCCACAATGTCACTGAATGTCACAGTACAAATACTGCATTTATTACAACCACTGGTACTACTACTACTACTACAAATACCTTTAAAGAACTCACCGACTTGTCACGGGAAACTTTCTTGTAGGCGACATGTTTCGGACTCATGGTCCTGTTGTCACAGCCTGATGAGGACACATCTGTTCAGTAAAGTTCAAATCTAATCTGTTTCACTATGGATGGCTTTACACTGCCATAAACAGTTTTACTGCTCACTTACTTCTTGAAAGCGTCACGCTTTAAATTTCACTGACAACTAAAACTTTCTGGATTTGACCGGTACATGCAAAAAGCAAAGTAAGCAAAGATACAAAGGTATGAAAAACTGAAACAAACCAAAATGTTCAAGTCAAATTGTTATTGTTTATTGAAAGACAATGCCAAGCATTAACTCATTACATTGCGTTACTGACTTACAGATGCTTCTGGAGTCTGTTTCCAACAAGCAGCTGGATTTACACACATTACAGTGAGTTCACCACATTCACTGTTGATGTTAGTTTCTGGATGAGATGTGTGCAAAACAAGAAAAAACCCGTAAAATCACCTGCATCATTTAAAAGTGAACAGATCCTTAAATATCCATCAAACAAAAAGAGCAGCAACTTACCTGCAGCAGCAGAGAAGAGGAGATGTTGAGCAGCCTTTCAGCCTGAGCTGCATTCCTTTATAATCTGCGAACAGCCGGCATGGTCAGCACACCAGTCATTACTCACAGATAATCCTCTCACTGTGGACACACAGACAGCAGAGAACTTCTCCTCCACATCTGAGAACAAAAGGATGCTGATTACTGACTAAACAGTCAGAGCCGCTCTCCATCCCAGGTTTCATTTGAATCATTAGAATCGAGCTGAGGAACAACCGTGAAATGAACCAAAGTCACGAACCTGTGTCTTCTTCCTGTCCTTTCAGTCAGGGCTGAACTCCTCAGACAAAAAGGAACATTTGAAAATGTGCACACTTCAGTGGCAGCTAGGTGAGCTCGACCATGAGACGCTGGGGAAAGCTCCAGCAAATGAGCAGCTATGTCGTCCTTGACCTGAAGTTCTTTTGTCTTCTAGCCTGTTAGTCATGACCTCAGACATTCACAGCATCTTGCATTGATCTCAGGAACAGAGCCTGCTGAGAACTAAGGGTCTTCACTCATGTCGGCGCCCCCTACAGGCTCCACCACAGCCACTTACTGTCATTTTCTCACAGAGAATCAAATAAAATCAAACCAAGCAGCTCTGAGCTCATTGCTGCTGCCGACTAGCTCTGGTTCTTTCTGTCTCGTGTCAGTAACCGTGATTAAAAGATAAACACACACAGTCGACTTCAAGCATCAAGCAACTGAAAGGCAGGAACACGTTTAGATATTTGATCAATAACTCGCTGTCATGAAATCAACAACTTCAGTCCAGATGTTCACTTTGTCTTTAAAACCATCTTCTCATTCTTAACATGAATGTTATTGTGGCACAATGTGACTGTTACACCACCTGTGTCTGCTGAGCAGCTAAGTCCTGCTCTGTCACACTCAGCAGTCTGCCTGCTGACTTCAGCAGGTTCCGTGCACGCACACACACACACACACACACACACACACACACACACGCACATCCAAACATCTGATGTAAATGAG